TTCTAAGGCCCCAAATCCCCCTGTTAGATAATGAGTGTCCTGTTTGATTGAGCCTTTATGGACTTGAGCCATTTGGAAGAGAACCTGGACACATTAATTCTGCTGTTGGACAGGATGAAGGAATTTAGAAAGCATTATTTAGGCCTAGTGGATTTCTGACAAAGAACCGTGTGATTCATTGCTCTAAAACACCGTGGCTGTTTGTGTTCAGATTTTGCTCCAGTGTGTGACTTTACCTTTTCACTTTCTCTTGTTTTATGCAAAAATACTGTTTAGTCTGTGGATTATGAAACTACTGAAACTAAAATCAGCAGTGTTTGCTGCAAATCAAGAGCAAAGTATGTGGATTTTAAATAGGTACAGCACGGACTGTTCTTCAGCCGATGTTGCTCTGGTGATGTTTCCTGTTAGGACCCAGTGTGTGACAGTCCATTACGGTTGTCTTCAGTCCCCTGTCACACAGTGGGGTAGAATTTCTGCCAGTGTGAGAAGCTGTTGTGGTGCTGACAGGCCGTACACTGAGTAAATGTGTCCCTGAAGCCAGCTGCCACTCTATGGCAAATGGATGCAGTCACCCACAAGTGAACCAAGACTAATCTGATGGGTGATAAAAGCTCAATAATGCAGTGTGAGCGTTCTTCCTGTGGTAGTCACAACAAAAAACGTAAAGGTAAAAAAGTAAGGAATCACTGAACACCTGGTCTTCAGATAAGTATATGCGAAGAATAGCCTCAATGTCTGTGTATATTCACTGACATATTGTCATTTCTACTCACTATTAATCATTGTGTGTCCTGCTTAAATGTTGTAAATGGACAAAGAGCGTTACCTGAGCTTGAGCCGAACTTGAGTTACATTAAAAGCACGGGGTTAACGCCAGGACTCCTGTGAGCAAATCAAGTAACCTAATATTAAGTGCATGATGACAGCAACCTTCTCAGCCAAGGGGTCACAGGTCAGGTCTCATGTCTCCTCAGGTCCAATTATTCAATGTTTTTTAATGGCCCTCAGCGGAATTTCAAGTAACACAGCTGTCAAATGAGGAAGATTCATTCTTGTTTAAAAGTGTATGAAAGCTTCTCTGCAATCTTTCCGAATCCTTAGATAAGGAATTTTTGTAAGCGGTGTTAAACAACATTATCTTTGGAGAACTGTCAGGTCATGTCTCCATTACTAAGGGAGCTTCATGAAGAGCTACTGTCACTTCTGTAGTCTGATGTGAAGTGACATTTTGTTCACGTGTGAAGGGAAAGGATTTTAACTCCCCAATATTTTTTAAATATATTTTATTGTGTGCCCATAGGTACCACTTAAGTGGTGCATTAAAAATAAATGTATAATGTATTTTTATTTCTAATTGTGTCCTTTCAGATTGCCACAAGAGGCTGTGAGACGGCGGATATCATCTTGCGTCGGAACGGCCTAGGCCAACTTGGTTTTCATGTGAACTTTGAGGGAATAGTGGCTGATGTGGAGCCTTTTGGCTTTGCCTGGAAGGCGGGCCTGAGACAGGGCAGCAGACTGGTAGAGATCTGCAAGGTGGCTGTAGCTACGCTCTCCCACGAGCAGATGATCGACCTCCTGCGCACCTCTGTCACTGTAAAAGTGGTCATAATCCAGCCTTATGAAGACGGCACCCCCAGAAGGTAACTGAAAGATTCACTGCTTGTAATTATGAGACACTTTGCTTGTGTGTCTGTCTGTGTGTGTGTGTGTGTGTGTGTGTGTGTGTGTGTATATATATATATATATAAACACTCTACCTCATTTCCCTATGCAGCTGGGCTTAATTAGCCGCCATTTTGTCCCACATCTGAGATGATAAGCATAAAGAAGTGCTTACATATCTTTTTTTCTTGGCAGGGTTAATGTTTTCTCCTGATTTCAATGGAAAACAGACTCTTTTTGTATTAATGTGGTTTTGTTCAGGGAGAAAACTCCAGCAGGCCTGTCGAGTCAGACAGACACAGCAGTTCTTACTAATGATAATGAGAAGAATGTTTTGATTAATGGCTCAACTCTCACTGCCATTGTCTGATAGCTCACATTTGTATATTGCTTTTTTTGCAACCCCCACTAGTATTCTGTTCATCAATAAGGGAGGGATTGTTGGCTTTTATGATGCAGACCCATGAGGAGGGTTTTTTTTTTTATCATGCCTGCAATAAATCAATGCAGCAAATTTCGAAATATTTTTGTGATGGAAAAGACAAAGGATTGATAAAACCACATCTTTGTGTTTTGCGTTTGGGACATGCATAAAAATATGTGTGTAAATATATACACAAAATTCTTTTGACAGATTTTCAGTATCAGAACCTTGCTTGTGCTGTATGCTGACAGATCTCTGAAACTGCAAATGCTATTTGGATTTCCCACACATATCTGGACCAGACGGAGTTTACTGTGTGCTGAGAGAACAGTTTGAATTAATCCAGTTTAATGTTTGCCACATTGCTGGCAATGTTTATGTAGCTATTTGATTGCAAGTTTGAGCCACACACATTTCTAGTGAACAGCAACGGAGAGACCTGGCAGAGTTTCATACTCTTGTTTTAAACTGCTGATGTTTGTCAGGAGGAGGCCTAAAATATTTCAACTAATGTTAAAAACGAAATAGTATAAGGCTGTATTTTGACTGAGGATTGGATTTTTTTTTTTCTTGTGAGTGTTATAATTAATATTAATGATCATTTTACTGTATGTGTAGTATGTTTAAGTGTACTTTCCCCTGTTTTCAATTTTATAAAATGGAAAAAAGTTAAATTCCAATTAACCTTCAACAATATCTAATATTAAGGCTAGAATACAGTTTGTTTGTTGAATTGCCTCTTCTCAACTCTAAGAATAGTCCTTAACATCAGAGTACTATTTTATGTCAGAGACTTAATAGGAGACTCTGAAGTTTGTGTTTCACTTTAGTGCTGGGTTTGGCAGCAGAGCAGTGACATATTTGTGCTCCCAGATGGCAGGCTAACATGCCTCGTCTGTGGATCCCAACACAGCAACCCCTCTGGCTGCACCAACTTCTAATCCTCTTACTGCGATCTGTGGTGATGCATGATGATAAAGTCTTAATCACTAGTCAAGGAGGGAAAAAGGAGACAAAACAAGCATTTTTCATAAATGATTCAAAAAAAAAAAAAAAGACACCAACCGATTTGTTTTTGTTTTTTTTTTGGCATCATCACTTTTAAAGTGGAAAACATGTGGCTTGGGTTCAGCAACGGCACTGAAGCGTTTTATGTTGTTTTTATGAACATAAAGGATGTTTTGAAAGAACACATTGCGCAGCAATGTCTGGCCTCATTGAATCAATCACTGTATGAATACATTGGTGGCAACAATGTTTTCAACTTGACCCATATATGGCATGTGCTAACAGATGTATGTGGCAGATTAGTAGGTATTACAGTAGACAACCATACTGGTCAATTGTTGTCGAGCTGATTTAAAACACTGTTTCACATCATCACCTGATGGTAACTAAGAGAGATGAAGACGATTTCTCTCAGGGCTCCAACACACTGGAAGGTGATAAGGGTCAGCTGAAGAATCTCGAGGACTTTCCGCTCTTTTTGCTGCTGCATCTTTGAGTTGCTAAGTGTTGCATTCAACAATAAGTGCTCCAGTTCTCCACTGTTATCTCAAAGGAAAGGAATTCTGCAGGGAGCTATGGGCCCCTGACAGTCCCCTGTGGCCACAGAGATGGGGGTTAGTCTAACAACAATGGACAAGAATCTCATGACCTCCAGACAATGAACCCTGGCTCCACACTGCTACTACAACAAGCAGAAATGTTTTTATAAGCTTACAGGGGCTAGACATGTTTCCCTTTTGCTCCAAACTGTTGTTTTATTTGGTCTTCAACAAATTTGGGAGTGCTCCAAATTTGTTGTTGACCGATGGGTTCATCCCCAATTTAGCTCCATTTATAATGAATGACCACCGCCTGAAGGAGAATTTAGACAAGTCTGTAGCAAAAGTCCCCAAACTGTATACACTCCAGGACAATTTCAGCCCGTCAGTCTGTAGCGAGGGGAAACCCTAATATTAACTTCAGATAGTATTAAATGTATGCTAAAGGCAGGATGTGGTTTAGCTGAGTGCAATTCCAAAAGTCTTTCCATCATCACTCTACCAAGATTTTAAACAAGTTCAACATGTTAGCTTTGGATCAAACTAATGAGAAAGGGATGAAAAGGATTAGCTCTTTGAAACAGGAATGCTATGTACAGAACATTGCACTGATTGTATGTCAAAGGATGTGGTCACTGGATATACACATGGTTAATCAGTCGTCTTTGTAAAAAAATGTACTTAAATAGGTAAACAGAAACACAAAAAACAGCTATTATTTTAAAGCGTGTCCTTGTTCTACTGAACCCTGTAGTACATTTGAACATTCAGATACTATGCGACTGGGCAACTTGAATCTGAGTAGATTTAACTTGGTACCAGACGGTGGCTGATAATGAGTATTGCCTGTGACACTCAGAAGGCCACTTGTGACCTTTTCCCTTTTAAGTGCCATTAGACTTGTCAACAGGAATTGTCTCCTGGACTCAGATTGAGCTGGATTTCTCACTTCCCATGTCAACACCCTGTGAAAGAGAATGCAACTGAATACTAAAATTCGAACTCATTAGGAACTACCTTACAGTTGCCCCCATTAATACCCTTCATTTATTAACAGAAAAAACCCAATGGCTGGTGTACTCACATACATATAAGCAGATTAATGAATGGACATTGTATCTGTTTTTCTTTTCTTTTCTTTTTTTGCAAAGGGTTGTTGAGGTTACAACCTCTGTGGCCTTTTGCTGTTGCCTTGGAATGGATTAGTAGGTCCATCAATTGCAGACCATGTCATTGCAGTGACAGTTCTCTGACCGAGGTCTTAGGTCCTGTTGTTACTCTAATCTATTGTAATTCGTTAAGAGAATAATGCTCAATGAGCTGATTGTTTACCTGAAACCTGCTGCTAACTGACCTGAACTCCTGGCATTGGTTCTCCCTTGTGTTATGTAAAGTTGTACCATTTTCCCATTTTATTTTTTTAGCCAAAGATCTGTCCAGTTCTCAGTACTTTCCACAACAAAACAACATAGTTTGTTAGTTAGATTATTAGTCTAA